AGACAAGCAATAAATCATTGTACAGAATGACCAACACAATATTAGACAGATTAAACATAAACGTTCTTTTCTGTAGGCCAGTATGACCAACACAATATTAGACAGATTAAACATAAACGTTCTTTTCTGTAGGCCAGGCCTATATGTTACGATGAAATTAGGTGATGCATGAATTGATATGAATGACATTTTTATTTAACAACTACAATCACAGTAGTATATTGACTGATTTGTTGAACTTTCAGCCTTGTAAGCATGTAGGCTAATAAGTATTATGACAACATAAAGCACTGACAAATAAGCCTGGTGTAAACAATAATATGAAAGTCAGTAACAAATCACACAAACTAAAGTAGATTGCAGAAATATAAAAACAAATCTGTTGCTTTACCACACTCAGTATTTAGGAAATTCAAAGTCACTGTAATAAACATATAGGCCTATGTAAACGTGGATTGCACTTTTTAAACACTGTCTGTTAACTTTGGACAGAGTTTAAATAAATAAGAATATATATATTATTTCAGTAATGAAATGCACCGTAACGCTGTTACTCCGCGTGTAGCGTGCCAAGGTTGCCAGGTTTTCACAACAAAACCCGCCGAAATTGCTACTCAAAACTAGCCCAATCGCATTTCGAGGGGGGTCCATCGGTTCTTTATTTTACCGCATTCCAGGAGGTAAAAGACACATTTTTTGGAGGGGTTCCCCTGGTAAGATTCGCACTCCAGGGGCTAAATTCCACCTTTTTGGAGTCGCTTCAACCCATGGACACGAAAAACAACCCATGGCAAACTGCGAACTTGGCAACACGCATTTCGAATCGGTTCTTTATTTTACCGCATTCCAGGAGGTAAAATACACGTTTTTTGGAGGGGTTCCCCTGGTAAGATTCGCACTCCAGGGGCTAAATATCACATTTTTGGAGGCAAACCGTGGACTTGGCAACACTGTAGCATGCCAACTTGATGCTTCCTCTGAAGACTGCTTAGATGTGTTTGACTTGAAGCAGCGCTGCTTAGATCGATGGGTGTGTGTCATCAAAGTACCGCGAGAGCTATAAGAGTGCGGACGTCTCCTTATGCTTTCTCTCGCCGTACTTTGTCATACACCAATCGATCTTCAAGTCGAACACACCTCTTTACGCTCGCGTGTCATGTGACCGGGTGTAATCGCAGCCTCTGCGGTTGAAAAATCACGTTTTTTTTTTCATATCGCGATATTATTACAAATGCAATTAATCGTTCAGCCCTAATTTGAATCCACATCTTTTGTAAATCCTTGGTAACTGCTGTGCCATGTGGTAACTAGGCTTGCCGCGATAGACGGTGCTGATGGTGATACCGGTGTTAAGCCGCAACACAGGTTATGTCACTTGCCCACCGCGTCACCGACCCCCACCGTCGTTTTGATTTTTTTATAGTAATAAAAATAATTTAGTTCAGTAAAAGAACAGACACTACAATTAAAAACTGAACGCGGCTGCTCAATGCAGCGTGCCGAACGACAGTCGCATCACAGATCAGATTTCATTTCTCCAGTGAGGAGAGTGAGTCGAGCTGACTGACA